CCCCAAAACCCCAAAACCCCAAAACCCCAAAACCCCAGGGTTATATTATTTATAGAAAGAAATGGCATCTGTAGTGAGGAGAAGTGGGGCTGTGAAGAGAGTGAAGAGTGAGGATGAGGAAGATTGAAGGAAGGAGGAGAATAGGAAGGGAGAAGAGCTTGTTTCGGCGAAGATATGGGTTCCAGTGTCGTTGCTGGTGAGGTAACTTAAAAAAATTTATAAGTTTGTTATAGTATTCTTAATGCTATTGCTGGGATTTGCTTCAGCTATGTGTCAAAATACAAAATTAAAGCTGGAGGAATGCAAGGAGCAGGAGAATTCTTAGGAAACTCTGTTTGACTAATAATCATCAGTTTTCAGGGAAGATACTTAACACCCCAAGAAACCTCTCAATTATCCCCTCAATCAAGATCTCCATGGTTAAAATGGCTATACGACATCTACTACATCCGTAAAAGAGACATCCATGGTAACCTACTCCATGCCCAATGGGAACAAGGTACTTCTCTAACCCAAGCATAAATTCCCCCAAAACCTAGCCTTAGCGTAAATTTTAATACCTAACAAAGTTCAGCTGGTTTAGGATCTGAGCTTAAAATTAAAGAAAAAAATTGAGCGTGGAGTAGAGAAGAAGTGGGATTTGGTATATTAGAAATTTGCCAGGATAAATTTTGTGGAGGGTATATTTTGAGTTTTGTGAAATTAATTTTATAGGTATTTGAATGAGAAGGGCTTTGATTACAGTTGTGTTGGTAATTTTAACTGTTTTATTAAATCTGGCTTTTGTTCTTTCACTCTATTATGCAACTGTTGGGTTTTTTAATAGTGGGATCATGTGATCTTTGGGAGTTACGAGAGTCATTTTTGTATCTATTATTTTTTATTTTATGTTTAAGCAAAGTTTGAAGTGGTATGAAATCGCGGGTATTATGATTCTGATTATTTCTGTCGTTTCTATACTTTACTCAGGGGAAGATAAAGTAGTGAATGAGAAGCAAGATACTCAAGCATTTTTTGTTGTTTTAGCGTGTTTATCTATGATAATAACAATGCTATTCAGTACTATGCGAATTGCAGTATGCAAATATGTTTCTCTAGAGGTACCAGAAATTAATATCCCTGCGCTCTACAACTTTACTATGGCAATCTATGCAGCAGGGATGATAATATATCTAATTGTTCTGATATCCCAAGGTTTTGAATTCACACTCATCGAGTTTAGCGTTGGAACTTTAGGAGGAGCTTTATACAGTGTTGCTGGATACCTTACCACTTACGTAAATGTCAGAGGAAAAGCCGCTATCGCCTCTGCCATTATCGAAGGCAGTACTCTCTTCCAAACAGTCTTCGACCTACTCCTCTTCGGCAGGTACCCCAACCTCGCCCAATACATCGGCTTGCTCCTTGGCTTCGGAGCAGTCCTATTCATTATCCTGTTTAATTCTCTAAGAGAGAAATAAATCAATTTTTAGAAAAGTTGGAGGGGTTTTGGGGTTTTGGGGTTTTGGGG